GTCATATTTAAATGATTGTCCACTAGGACTCCGAGATCCCTCTCACAGTTACTACTATTGAGCAAGGTACCCCCTATACTATACCTGTACATTTGGTTTTTCTTGCCTAAATGTAGAACCTTACTTTTTTCACCATTGAATTTCATTTTGTTAGATAGCGCCCAGTGTTCAAGTCTGTTCAGATCTTCCTGTATCCTAAGCCTGTCTTCATTGTTATCTTGCATCTTAGATAATGCCACTCACTTGATCATTTTTTTATTCCTTTAAAATTCATCCTAAATCAAATAAGTTTTAACAATATCTTAAAGAATAAAAAGTACACGAACTTTAAAAAGAGGTATCCTCGTTTAAAAAATTATTCACTTCTACCGGAAAACATCCATAGCATTCTTTTTGATGTGGATTGTTGTGTCACCAATTCAGGAACTTTTTCAGTGAGTCGCAGCTGAGTACTATGTTTTACTGCAAGCAGATTAGGGGCCAATCAAGACAAACCACCAACACTTGACAATGGAGAATGTATAAACAGATTCAAATCCACCTACTGTGCTTCTTCTATTTTCCTGAGAGTGTTTCTCACCCATCAGAGACTCTTTACGTTCCCTACGTTCTTTCTCACCTGTGATTGACCTACATTTTTTATTTAATGCTAGGAAGAGGGACCGCTTAGACGAACTAGCTCTTCCTATTTATGCCCCCCATGAATTGCAAGGTAACAAACTCTCTGCTCGAGGCCCAGTTAGATAATTATTTTCTACTTTTGTCTTAACTAGGTGCCCGGTGCCTACCGGATACTTAGCAACACAGCTAATCCTCACTAATATGTAACTTTCCCTTGCTGATGCTTAAACTAAGCAAAACCATTAGGGTGAGGAGAGAGATAGAAGAGTCATAAAGTTTCCCGAAAATGAGTTGATTCCATGGATTGTCCTCCTTGCTCTACTTTGGTTCATGATGTGTACTCTGGGAAGAATCTCTCAGAAACTATAAACATTGGGATTTCTATAATACATTTTTTTTATTTATTTAGAACATTTATATTGCTGCTTACTTACACATGGCGACTCAAGGCAGCTTATATGACATAAAAGTACAACATACAAGAAATGAAAATAAAAGTAGCAAAATAGAAGTAATAAAATAACAACCGCCCACCTTGGTGACAATACACATTCATACCAGCCATTTAATGGGCTCATTTCCACCGGTTCCCCAGGCCCGCTGGCAGAACCACATCTTAAGGGCCTTCCGGAAGAGTGTCAGAGTGGGGGCTAGTCTAATTTCTGCATGGATGATGTTCTAGAGAGAGGGAGCCACCACGGAGAAGGGCCTGTTTCTGGGTCCCGCCACATGTACCTCCTTAGGGTACGGGACCCGCAACATTCCTTGCCTCCCAGCTCTAGTGGGTTGGGTAGATGTAACCTGCAAGAGATGGTCCCTCAGATAACATGGTCCCAAGCCATGAAGAGCTTTAAAGGTGACAACTAGCACTTTGAATTGCATCTGGAAGCAAATTGGCAACCATTGCAGCTCCTGCAGGAGAGATGATACATGTGCACACTGAGATCTGCACAAAACCATGTGGGCCACTGCATTTTGCACTAACTGGAGCTTCCAGATGCTTTTCAAGGTCAGCCCCAAAAAGAGCGTGTTGCAATAATCAAGATGGGGGGTAACTAGGGCATGAGTGATTGTGAATAGGGATTGTTGGTCCAGGAAAGGGCATAACTGGCGCATAACTCACAATTGTGCAAGGCCCTTCTGGCCACGACTACCACCTGTTCTTCAAGTCACTAGTCCAGGATAACCCCTAGATTACGCACAGGGTCTCTTTGGGGCAGTGCCACCCCACCTAAGACCAAAGGTAGCAATTCTCCATGGGTCAAAGAACCCCAAACCCAGAGCCACTCGATCTTCCAGGGTTCAGTTTCAACCCGTTGCTCCCCATCCAAGTCCTAACAGCCTCCAGGCACTGCGAGAGGGAGGTCAGGGCATTGCTTAAGTCACCATAAGCTGAGATATGCAGCTGACTAACATCAGCATATTGATGATATCTCAGTCCATGGTGATGATGATCTCACCCAATGGCTTCATATAGATGTTGAATAGGAGCAGAGAGAGTACCAAGCCCTGAGGGACCCCGCACAGTAGTGGGCGAGGGCTGGATTTCTCGCCTCCTATTAATACTGACCGAGAGTGGCCGCAGAGGAAGGAACTGAACCAGGATAGCATAAAGCCTCCCACTTCTAACCCCGAAGCCGCTCGAGGATGCCATGGTCGATGTTTTTGAAAGCCGCCGGGAGGCCAAGTAGAACAAGGATGGATGCACTGCCTCCATCCTGCTCCAGTGATTATGTCTTCCTCTATATATACCCTCTTCAGTATCCAACCCAAAAATGTTAAAAGCCAGCAACGCCTTCCCACAGAAATGGATAAAGTATAGGTCTGAACCTGAAAATGTCTTCTTTGCACATAATAAAACAGGATCCATTACAGTAATAAGTTGAGGACTACTTGTACAGTTGTACATACAAGTGAATAAATCAAATGTAGGACAAGAAATACCATCTGGTGCAGGGTCACCCAATGAATTGATGGATGAATGGTGATTTGAAGCAGGTTTTTTTTTTTAACATATTTGTCCATACCGAACTATCTGGACCCCTGATTACTTAGTGCAGGGGTCTTCAAAACTCTATAAAACTCTATAAAATATACAGCCTGTTGATTAAGTGTTTAGGTGAGGATCAATCAAGCCAAAGTTGAAGACAATTAATCCTCCTCTTATTCCTGCCTCCCCACTGCCCAGGATTCTTGCTAGGAGGGCTGACTTGGATTTCCTAAAATAATGAAAGATTAGCTAACAGAATGCTATACCACTCAAACACAATTTAACTCTTTGAGGCTGCTTAAAAGAAGCATATTTTGAGGCTTTGGCCCAGGGGTCTTCAAACTTGGCCCTTTTATGACTTGTGGACTTCAACTCCCAGAATTCCTCAGCCAGGAGTTGAAGTCCACAAGTCATAAAAGGGCCAAGTTTGAAGGCCCCTGACTTAGTGGTTGGAGATGGTAATTTTTCTGGCACTTTTGAACTCGACTTTTTTGTTAGATTACTGATGGGCGTATTTGATGGGTGTATTGTTTCAAGAGTTTATTAGTTTCATCTAACTATTCTTTTTAAAAAATAATATTTAATTATTTATTATTTAATTAGTATAATTATGTGATGATTATAAATTTGTGCACTGTCACATACATTTCCAGGTGATGTTAGTTGATAATCATGCCTTTTCCACGTTCTTTTTTTCCAGGTATGAATGCCGCAGTCCGTGCAGTGGTGCGCATGGGGATCTATGTTGAAGCGAAAGTGTATTTTGTCTATGAGGTTAGTATTTACTATTATTCTGCAGAATCTCTGATAATCACCAGAGCCTGAAGAGAAAAATCTAGCAATCAAAATGTAGGATGAGAGAGAATAAACCTGGAAATAATCTTATTATCTAGTCGACCTACAGCCCCACAGATATTTAACATTAGTATTTTTAAAAAAGGAAAATTGAATAGAACATAGAGAAGAAAAGAAAGCAATTTGTTTAGTTATTTAATTATTTGATGTTTGTTTGTTCATTCGTTCAGTCATCTAATTTCTAAAGCTGCCCATTTCACAGAGAAGAGCAACGAAGATGATTAGGGGACTGGAGGCTAAAACATATAAGGAACGGTTGCTAGAATTGGGTACGTCTAGTTTAATGAAGAGAAGGACGAGGGGGGACATGATAGCAGTGTTACAGTATCTCAGGGGCTGCCACAAAGAAGAGGCAGTCAAGCCATTCTCCAAAGCACTGGAAGGCAGGGCAAGAAGCAATGGATGGAAACTAATCAAAGAGAGAAGCAACCTAGAACTAAGGAGAAACTTCCTGACAGTTAGAACAATTAACCAGTGGAACAACCTGCCTTCAGAAGCGGTGAATGCTCCAACACTGGAAGTTTTACAGGAGAGACTGGACAGCCATTTGTCTGAAATGATATAGGGCTTCCTGCCTGAGCAGGGGGTTGGACTAGATGACTCCAACCATTTCCTCTCTTTATTTATTCAAAGATTTCATTCCACACTTCACATATCAGCTCTGAAAGGCAGGCCGGCATAAAATCCAAACAAATCTTGTTGAGCTGATCCATTAAAGTTAATGTGAATCTTAAGCTAGCCACAACATTTTTTAGCCATCTGGAAGAAACTTGAAAAAATGCATATGACCTTGAATGGGATTCCAGAGATATCTCACTTAGTAATCCCGCTCAATTTATCTGAGGCATCTATTTATTAATTTTATTTATTTGGTTTTTATCCCACTTTCATTATTTCTATAAATAAGGTGGCAAACATATTTAATATTCCTTCCTTCTCCTATTTTCCCTACAATAACTCTCTGTTAGAGAGTGACTGGCCCAAAGTCATCCAACTGACTTTCATGCATAGGGTGGGACTAGAACTCCCAGTCTCTTGGTTTTTAGACTAGCACCTTAACTACTACCATGTTTCCCTGAAAGTAAGACCCGGTCTTACTTTCTTTTGGTCTATTTCATTTTTCTCTATTCAGTTCTGTCAATTTAGTCAGGCCTTGGAAAATGGCAAGGAAATAACAGCAACAGGGAGAAAGCAGAGCTGCTTAACTCATTCTTTGCTTCATTCTTTACACAAAAAAGAAATTAGAGCCCAACATATAAAAAAAAAAAACTACTGCAAAAGACAAACTAGAAACAAAAATTAAAATAAGCAAGAAAATGGTAAGAGAACACCTATCCGACCTTGATGAATATAAATCACCAGGACCCGACCGATTACATCCCAGAGTTCTGAAAGAGCTGGCAGATGTTATTATTATTATTATTATTATTATTATTAATTTGATTTATATACCGCCCTTCTCCCGAAGGACTCAGGGCGGTGCACAGCATATTAAAAACAAGTAACAATACAATAAATACCAAAATAAAAAACCCCTCTAAGACCAAATTAAAAGCCAAATATTGGTAGCTGTGTCGTAATTAAAATTATTAAAAATCGTCCCTAACCAAAATCCTCCCTAGGTCAGGCCCGCTTGCTGGAAAAGCCATGTCTTGAGGGCGCGGCGGAAAGTAAGGAGATCCGGAATCATCCGGATCTCGGGGGGTAGTTCGTTCCAGAGGGTGGGGGCACCCACAGAGAAGGCCCTTCCCCTGGGGGTCGCCAGCCGACATTGCTTGGCCGACAGCACCCTGAGGAGACCCACTCTGTGGGAGCGTACCGGTCTGTGGGAGGAGATCTGTGGCAGAAGGCGGTCTCGGAGGTAACCAGGTCCAATGCCATGGAGCGTTTTAAAGGTGGTAACTAACACCTTAAAACGCACCCGGAAGACCACTGGCAGCCAGTGCAGCTCGCGCAAGAGCGGTGTCACATGGGAGTAACGAGTNTCCCGGTCCAGAAAAGGCCGCAACTGGTGGATCAGGCGAACCTGATAAAACGCCCCCCTGGTCACGGCCGACAAATGATCTTCTAATGTCAGCCGTGGATCCAGGAGGACACCCAAGTTGCGTGCCCTCTCCGAGGGGGCCAGAGTTTCGCCCCCTATAGTCAGCGATGGAGTCAGCTGACTATGCCGAGGCGCCGGCAGCCACAGCCACTCGGTCTTGGAAGGGTTGAGCCTGAGTCTGTTCCTCCCCATCCAGACCCGTACGGCCTCCAGGCAACGGGTCATCACGTCAAGGGCATCGTTGGGGTGGCCTGTTATCTCAGAACCATTGCACCACATCTTTCAAAAATCCTGGAGCACCTGGGAAGTACCTGAGGATTGGAAAAGGGCTGATGTGGTTCCCATCTTCAAGAAAGGAAGAAAAAAAAAAGACCCAGGAAACTACAGACCAATCAGTTTAACATCAAGACCTGGGAAGATCCTGGAAAAGATAATTAAAAAACAGATCTGCAAACAACTAGCAGCGAACAAAGTTATAACTAGTAATGAGCATGGGTTTGTTAAAAACAGATCATGCCAAACCAATCTTATTTCATTCTTTGATAAAGTGACTAAATTAGTAGACCAGCGAAACGCAGTGGACAGTGGGTGTAGTATACTTAGATTTCAGTGAGGCATTTGACAAAGTAGACTATAACTTCGTTCTTGGTAAGCTAGAAAAAGATGAATAGACAACATCACCATCAGATGGATCTGTAGCTGGCTGACAAACCATATTCAACGAGTAGTCCTCAGTGGTATTACATCCACATGGAGATAAGTAAGCAGTGAAGTACCACAAGGCTCTGTCTTAGGCACAGTACTCTTCAGTATCTTTATAAATGACTTAGATGAGAGAATAGAAGGGGAACTCATCTAATTTTCAGATGACACCAAACTGGCAGGAATAGCCAACACCCCAAAAGACAAGCTCAGGATCCAAAAAGATCTTGGCAAACTTGAACAATTGGCCCTATTCAATAAAATGAATTTTAATGTGAAGAAAAGGAAAGTTTTACATTTAGGCAGGAAAAACCAGGGCTTTTTTTCTCATAGAACGCCCAGAATGGAGTTCTGGCACCTTTTTTGGATGGAACCTTGTAGGGTAGGCAAGGCGGGTTGTATGATGTGTGTGAGTTCTGGCATCTTTTTTTTTTTTATATAGAAAAAAAGCACTGGGAAAAACTAAAGGTATAAGTACAGATAAGGTGAGAACTGGCTCAAAAACAGTAACTGGGAGAGGGACCTTGGAGTCCTAGTGGATGATCAATTGACTATGAGCCAGCAGTGTGCAGCAGCAGCCAAAAAAGCTAATACAATCCTGGGTTGTAAAAACCAGAGGCATGGAATCAAGATAACATGAAGTATTAGTACCGCTTTATAAAACCCTAGTAAGACCACACCTAGAATACTGCAATCAGTTTTGGTCACCATACTACTAAAAAGATGTTGAGACTTTCTCTGAAAAAAATTCAGAGAAGAGCAACTAAGATGATCAAAGGCCTGGAGACTAAAACATATGGAGAACAACTGCAGGTTTGGGTAGTCTAATGAAAATAAGAAATAGGGGAGACATGATAGCAGTATTCCAGTATTTGAGGGGCTGCCAAAAAGAAGAGAGGGTCAAATTATTCTCCAAAGCACCAGAGGGCAGGACAAGAAACAGTGGTTGGAAACTGATCAAAGAGAGAAGCAACCTGGAATTAAGGAGAAACTTCCTAACAGTGAGGACAATTAACCAGTTGAACCGCTTGCCTCCAGAAATCGTGGGGGCTCCATCACTGGAGATTTTTAAGAAGAGACTGGACAGTCACTTGTCTGAAATGGTATAGGTTCTCCTGCTTGAGCAGGACGCTGGACTAGAAGACCTCCAAGGTCCCTTCCAGCTCCTATTCTACTCTACTCTACTCTACTCTACTCTACTCTACTCTACTCTACTCTACTCTACTCTACTCTACTCTACTCTACTCTACTCTACTCTACTCTATTCCACTCCACTCCACTCCACTCCACTCCACGATCCTTGGACAGATTAGTGATGATTCAAATATTTCTGGTATCTTCTGGCTTTGCAAAATCTCAACTTTCTTGCAGATAGGGAAAAAGCTGAATACAGGTTGACTGATTCACTTTCGGACACATTGATATGAGTGATTGGTTGATATATTTCTTCATCTCTGTCAACTTTGCCTTTCAAATTACCTGGATGAATGCTATATACTACTGTCTGCATCTAACTCTTCTGCTAGAGTATTTTAAGGAGGCTCTAATGATGGAAGAAAAAAGAAAGAAAGAAATAGTATTTATTCTATTGCTTTAGTTTTATTTGGTTTGCTCTCTTTTTTGTGATATTTTATCTTTTCTGCAATAAGTACCTTTTTATTTTTATCATTCCTTAAAGTTTGGCCTTTTTTTCTCATTTCTAATGTAGTCTCTGTGGTTTGCAGGTTTTTTTTTAGCTTTTTGCACTTCCTCCTTTCATTTCCTTTTATCGTCCCTAACTTCTTCACATAAAAATAATTATATTCCTCTATTTTATTTTCACCTACTCTCTGTTCTGCTATATGTTGGGACTTCTTCATTGCAAGTAAATTTGCCTCAATGAGCTTCCTATTAGAATATTAGGTATAATGCAGAATAAATTTCTTGGTATCATTGTATATTCTATGCATAACAGTGATAACCAAACTTGGATTCTCAAACCTCTTTATTTCAGTTGTTACGAAGTAATTTGAAAGTTTGCCATTCCCCGACTTTGCCAATGAATCAGCTCTCCATTGAAGGACAGTGAATCCTTTGATCTTTAACAAGAGCTTTCTTGTTGAAGAACTTTTGAGAGCTCTTAAGTAGAAATTGGACATTTCCAGTATTGGTTCAGCACAGCTTCTCCCAAAAT